ATAACACAAAAATGTAATTTCATTTGAGTTGGACTTCAAATGTCTCCACTCCAGTAGCGTATGATGTCATGCTGACATGCACCAGTACACTGTTTATTCTCTCTGCTCCCCTCTCATATCTTTCAGACACTAATTAGACAGCTATGTAGGATGAAGAGAAACAGCCTCTCGTGTGATTTCAGTCAGAGCGGTGGATTCTGACACTCTTTCTGACCTGGCTCTGATGAACGGAGATCTACTGCATTTACAAACTCAACACGCTGAGCCCAGATGCTGTAATTGGAGGAGCTGTCGAGCCAGACGAGAGGAAGGCTCGAGTCGTCTTCCAACAACAATTTAGCAGCTCCCTTCCAGACGGATGAAGCTGAACACCTGTCAGAGGAGAGAGCTCTTCATCTGATGTCGGTGCTTCCTGCAGCGTGTCACGTGCTGCTGGTATCACCACGCTGCTGCCTCCAGTCACAGACGGGAGATACCACAGCCACGCACCCTCTGTGTTCAAACATGCTCTCCATGCCGCCACATGACGGAGCTCTACACTTCACGTACCTGATGATGCACCTGGTGTTATCACCTTATACGCATATACCCCCCCTCTCACCCTCATGCATACAGAGCACAAAGGCTCCTGTCAGGGCTTCATTAGCACACAGAGCTCCATAATGAAGAGTGATTGGCTGCTCTGTCAGACCACATCATGTACTCATTGTTTTAATAAGACAACTGATATGTGATAACAGACGTGTCTGCTGATACCGTTAGTAATCACGGGCAACTATTCGAAGCAGCTGAGCTTTGTTCTAATACATTTGAGCGTTGTGTCTGTTCCACCACTCCTCTAAACCAGCCTGGTATTAAATCTGAAGTATTATTTTCTATTTAATGCTAAATACTCCTCCCGCTGCCTATGATAGTTCACATAAATGGTCACATGCTGCAGTACTATGTATCACTTATGTATCAATTAATCTGCAGATCTTGGATTAATCGAATAATTGTTCGGTCGATGAAATATCACAATCATGAACACATAACCCTGACAGCTAGAGCTGGGGACGTCTTCAAATGTCATTCAACCAAAAGTACAAAACCTCAAAGTATTCAATTCCCAATGATGTATGACAAAGAGAAGAATCAAAGTCTCTCCTTCAAGGAGATGGAAAGATATTTGCCATTTTTTCACCATTTCTGCTGGAAAAAACAATATCTTCAGCTCTAGAATCAAGTTATTAAATTCTTGTCATTTAAAAAACACACCGTCATAAAAACAATCTACAAACAATTCAAGGCATGCAGAGTTTACAACGGAAATGAGTTACAACTGTATGTGGACCAAAGTCAACAGGATGTGGGTATTAAACACAAAGAAAGGAATTTATAGAACAGTAGCCATATTTTTGTTAAATTCTAACGTTATCATGACGTGTTCCATTTCTTTATCAAAGAACATCCGATCTTGTATTTCCTAATCATCAGAAGTGTGTTTCTATGTTAATGGCCACTAATGGCCATTAACAAAGTAGAAGGATATAATAAAGTAGAAGGATAGCAGGCGGTTGGTAATGATTTGTCAGGGCCTTGGTGAAACTAAATATGCTGGAGTCTGATTAGTATCGGCCCATATGGGTCATCAACAATAGCCAATCAATGACGGCAACAAAAAAGTGATCAGTAAGTAAGTTTGCTCCCTTTTATTTGCTGCTGATCAGATCCGTGACTCAGAACCACGACACCAACAGTTTAGTGTTTAGTGATCCGTTTAGTGAGTTTAGTGATCCGTTACAGCTCTACTGAGCTCCATTACAGGCTTTCATCTCCTCTTGTCTTCACTGTTTGTTTGCCTTCACCAGACAGAGAAGGTCTCCAGTGTGGTGAGAGTGATGAAACGAGGCTTCCACACACAGCAGAGACCCCACTCCTCCTCACTGAGGGTGGCTGCACTGACTGTAGTGATTATGTGCAAATGTCCTCCAGATTATCTCTGACCTGTTGTTGACTGCTAAACAGACGACATCAGTGTTAGTGTGAACAACCTGAATCACTGAGGCTGTCTTCTTCCATAGGTCTCCTCCTGACCTGGCTTACTTTTCCTTATAAATATTGTTATAGTTTCTTATTTTTACTGTTTGCAACTTTATTTTTTTTAATCCTCTGACTTTTTTCATTTGCTATAGCTTGTGTTCTTTTAATCAATGCTCTTCATCCTTCTTTGATCTTTTATTTCTCTTTGGGAAATACTTTAAAATGTTGTTTGACAAATAAACTCTTTGATGAATGCTACATAGATATGGTTAAAAGCACTGGAAATACCAGTAAGTGGACCTTGAGTTCAGAATTTTTGGCAGTGTTTTCCAAGATAAAGAACGATTTTTCGTTTCACTCCTGTTTGTGTGAAACGCAGAGCCATTATTCAAAAGGTGCAATAAGATTCAAAAGATGAAAAGTGAAAGAAAGCGTCAGAAAGAAGAAAACCACGCTGCCCTCTGGCCTCGTCCTCCCCACCGCCGGCACGCCTGGAGGCTAACCGTGGGGAAACAAAGTCCCCTATTGTGGGTTGAAAAGTTGATCCTTTGGGTCGTACCATTCCTCCTGGTGCATGCAGGCACCCTGACCGGGACCCTGACCCGGTGGACCGGCTCTCTGAGACCACGCTCTGAGCGTCACACACTGCCCACAATTCATCAACGTTACATTTGGAAATGTTTGGATCACACAGCCACTGCCAAAATCTAATTCTATAAATAGTTTAATACTACTGTTAGTGTTGCCTGATCTTAACGTGACGTTGTGCAGGAGAACAGAATGAATAGACATGCAAATAAAGAAGCTTCAGCATCCACATGTGGATTTAGAATTGTAATGTCAATGTCATGAGTGAAGCTTCTAACTAGTGTGAAATAAATGAGAAAGTCCTCACTCATATCTTGGACATGTTCTCCACTTGTTATATTTCTTTGTCTGCTGGTCTGTTATTATTTTCTCTCACATAAACGTTAATATCAAAGCATTTCTTGTTTTACCTGAGCCACAGTGTGTATCTCAGGGGACACAACATGCACCGCCTCGCAGCCCAAGCTCGCTTTTTATCATCTCTCGTGGAAAGACTTCAGAAAATTGTGCTGCTCTGCCTCACACCTGACACATTTGTCTCCATTTTCTTTAGGGGCCATGCTTCTATATCATTAGCAACATCTTCACTGCTTTCTCCATAATAATAACCTCAGCAAACGTATTTCCTTCACAGAGAACTGGGGAACAGGCTGGTTGTGAACAGGCCCATTATTATACAGTGCTGCTACTTTTAATGGACTGCAAGGTACACTGGAACAGAGTGGAGCTCCATATAATTCATTAAATTAAATACATTTAAAACATTTGCTTTCCACCCCAAAAATAGTTGTTTAAATGAAATCATAACTGACAGAATATATTCCCACCGATCACTGCTGGTGGGAGAGAGTTATAATGTTTGTAAGGACTGACTCGGGATGCCAGTGCTGAGCACATTTCTGAGGCATGCTGGGAAACCCCTGACAATTACAAAGTATATCAATCAATGGATCTCAGCTTGGGGTCAGAATTAGCAACCAGGTCTCACAATCACAGTGGTCCGTTGTGTTACCACAGTTACATTTTTTAAGGGTTAAAAAACAATTAATAAGAGCCAATAGATTTACAACTAAAATCTTCCCAGCAGATAACACATTCAGTCAGTCACAAAATATTCCCTTTCAGAGGTAACTGTCAGTAAAATGGGATTTATTCTGCTTTAAAAGATTCTTCCTCGACCTGAGCTGTCATGACTTATTATAGTGGAGACTATAAAGAGGACTTCATGCTGCGTTTAGAGGTTTCTGCTCCATACGAGAAGTGAAAAAATCCTGAATACCCATGAAAACGGTCGCACAATATGTACAAAAAAATGTCTTTGTTTACAAACTCTCTCTCTCTTTAGAGTAGAGAATATGGAACATTGTTCTGTGATTAACATTAGAATAAACAGCCTGATTAGATGCCGCTGTTTGACCCAAACCTGCAGGGACATTCAAGCTGTCCAGTGTGATAGTGTGTTACGCATGTGTAACAGCTGGGAATCAAAATAACTGCCTAAATATGACATGAGTACAATATGGCGAATATATATATATATATGTTATCTGACTGACGTGACAGGAGATCTGAAGACATGGATGAGAAATCTGCTACCTGAACGAAGGACCAAGATGGAGTCAGAGAGAGAGTTGAAAATGAGTGGGGATGGATCAACAACACTCCAACTAACACCATTTCATCAAGGTGTCGAGCTTTTCTCACTCAGAACAAGTCACAATAATTCGAGATAATATTACCACGACAAAAAATAACCAAATCCCAAAACGCGTCGCCGACATCACCACAGAGAGCGTCGTTTCAACGCATATGAGCGACTCCTGAACGCATCACTCATCTCAACCCTCCGTGGAAATAAGAGGACCCAAATATGGATATGAACTTATCCCAACTACTTTATGAAATTTCCCTGTTTTTTTTTTAAACACACAATATGAAAACTTCCACACAAGTTACCGTTTGGCACTTTGCTGTCTCCGTGAAACAAGCATCTGAGGACCGCGAGACCACAAGTTTCACATAGTAACAAAATACCGGAGCGAAGGAGGAATTAGGTATCATTTCAGGAAAAACATGTCTAGTTTTCAGTATTCATACAGGTTAGTGTTTCAAAAAACGGCCCCAAAAAGCGGCTGAAGAAAGCCTTGATTTAAATAAAGTTGCCAATCAGAAATAGCCTTCCTCGGTGCCCGCGTGCCCTCCACCAACACCGCACAGACAGGCTGCGAACGTCTAAGTGACACCTCTCCTACAAGATGCTCAATGATCGAGACTCCCACCACTGTGGCAACATCGGCGACAAAATGTAGATTCATAACTGACCCGTTGTTTCATGGAGCCTGAAACCGCAGAAGGGACAGTAAAAGCCGCGTAGAACCAGCGCCACTTACCGCTGTGTGCAGAGGACGGAGCTCAGACCCGGAGAAGCAGCAGCGAGTCCAACGAAGACGTTCAGCTCTCTCTCTCTCTCTTTTCCGTTATCTCTTTCTACTTCTCTCTCTCTCTACTTGTCTCTCTCTCCCTCTCTCCCCTTTTCTCTATCTCTCTCTCTCTCTCTCTCTCTCTCTCTCTCATGTAGTCTCTAGCTCTCTCTGCCAACCCGTCCCATTCCCCCCCTCACCAATCAACAAATTGAGGAGTTGAACTGGCTGCTGATTGGTCATTACAGTGCAGTGCAGAGATTAAAGGGACATGCTCACACGCACAGAAGCACACGTCATGGACTTTAATCTTCACCCCACCTCCAGCAAATGACACGTTTCAATCAGCCGTCTGCTTGCTTTAAGGAGAACTCTGGGTTATTTGAAGACCCTTCAGCAACAAGCAGCTACATATGAAATGGCACGTGTTGTTTCTGGTGGGCTTTAATAAGCAGAAGCCGGCTGAGCACAGCCATTGCAAGCTGCAGGTATCACAGCTGAAGGCGGCTCTTCTCTGAAGCAGAACAGCACTCAGTATTCTAAATAACTAAAGATACTACGCCACTTTGTTCTACGTGATTCATCCTTCCTTTGGTATTTTGAAATATACGACATTCAGAGTGGGAGGTTGAACAGCTGGCCCTCTGGTGTGGTCACAACAACCTGGAGATGAACACTCCTAAAACTGTGGAGATGACCGTGAATTCCATGGGCCAGCCGTGGCTCAGAGCGGGTCATCTTTCATTCGATCCCTGGCTCCTCCAGTTCCATTTCTGCCATCTCTAAGTTCTGGTAGAGGGCAGAAATGTGCCTAGAACTTATCAGCATTTTTGTTTTAAGTCTAAGACTATCTGGCAAAATAAATTGGCTGCCATCATAGTTCATAATTTGATGATAAATGGACTTGCATTTATCCAGCGTCCCTCTAGTCTTCCAGAGCAGAGGCTGCTATACAAGCTGCCTGCACTTCAGGATCTACACATTCATGCACACTCACACACTGAAGACCCAACCTTTTAGAGCAATTTGGGCTTCAGAAATCTTGCCCAAGGACACAGCGACAGAAGAGTCGGGGAGACAGTACATATACTGTCTGTACATCAGTGGTGGGCTGTCAGGGCCAGCAAAGCCTTCTCTGCTGGCCTAAACAGAATCACAAAGTTATAGCTATTTTATAATTTAATGATTTTTCTTAAATACACTACATGTATTGTAATTTATAAAAATATTTTTCCCATTATCTTATTTTCTCATTGCACAGCTACTGTCTTCCTCAGTTGCTCTGCTTCCAGTGCAGCTTGTTTTAATTAGAGCTTTTATCCAATCAGATTTCACCTCTGTGTCTCTAGGTAAGAACAGAGGCCCAGGCCTGCAGACTCACAAGTGCATCCATGTGCAGTTTAAGTGAATGGGGACGATATTGTTGATTGTCAGTCTTCAACCAATCAGATCTTTAGTTTGAAATGTTGGGCGTATTCTTTGACATGCCAGAGCCTGCTAGCTGGCCTACAACTACGTCAGCATTACGTGCAGCTCAGTTTTCAAGTGCAGCTCTGCAGTGAGGTGCAGCGTGCGCTGTGATTGGTCAGTGGGCGATCACGTGACTATCGTGAAACGAAACTTAAAGTAGCCAGCAAAGCTTAGTCGGAGTAGAGTTCAAATTGAAAGATATAGACGAAATGATGACATTTTTTGCATTTTGCTTGGTGTAGATTATTGTTTTTTTTACCTAGCTTTGTTTTTTTAACACTCAATGGCTGAAGGAGGAGGAGAAACGGATTTATGAGTTGGGATTTAACCGTGGGATTAAACTCTTTGTCAACAAAGAAAGGAGGATGGAGTTTGTTTTTGAGTGAGCAGCATTTGGTAAGTAAACTGCTTGTTTTTTTACATCTAATATCTGAATGGCCCTCGAGTGTGTAGCAGAATGCGTGTTCCGCTGCAGGTCTGCTGGATTGATTTGTTGCTTTGTTGTCATATGAATATATGTGACTGGTTCTTGTGAGTTTGTTGTTGTCATTGTGTTAATTATATAGATTTGGACTATATGCATTGTCCGTTAATTACGAAGCGTACCGTCATGCGCGGAGTTATTGTTTGTTAAGCTAGTTTAGCCTAGCCTCCTAGAAGTGCGGGGCCTCAGCTGTTTTTCTTTGTGGTTTTTTTTGTTCCGGTTCAGAGGTCACATGGCCCGTTGTCTCCTACGTGAGTGCAGAAAACATTATATTTCTTACAATTTAAGCTGTGACGCCATCATGAGGTTATTAGATGTTTCAGCTGCAGGACAGCAGTGAAGGCCCAGGTATAAAATGCACGGCCCGCCACTGCTGTACATATATATATATATAATATAAACCCTATACACTATACAGTATATAGACATCTCAGCATTTGTATCCATTCAGTATTTGTTTGGTTCACAACTTGCAGAACAGTTGACTTGAATATAGACATTTGTGGACATCATTGGTGCTTGTATGTATGTATGTATGTATATATATATGTATATATGTATGTACGTACATATATATTTGACACCTGCACATCAGGACTCTAACTAACCATTCATACAGTGTTCATACCACTGAGTCGACATAACAGTCCGGTCTATTCTTTAACTTTGTTATCCTTCCTGCTATTTTTATTTTGTGTTAGTACATACAGGGAGACGAAAACAAAAATGGAATGAAATAGGATTATTTGTATGTGTACACATACTTGACCAATAAAGCTGATTCTGTTAGCTGCGGGTCGCCGGCAGTGCAGAGCTTTTGGTGGTATCTATGCAATCCGTAGAATATCTGGTTTTAGGGAATGCCTCAATCTCCCTCTAACAGACTTAACATGTAATTCAGTACAGTATTGTCTTTGGATGCATTTTTCTCTGTATACTTTGTTTTACACTGTATAGTGTCCTCGAGTTTGTAAAAGACAATTTCTAATTTAAATTAATAAAAAATGTTTTATGATTATTGTAACACTCACAGTATTATGAATACTTATCTTATTATCTTTTTTATTTTTATATATTATATTTGATATTCTATGAATAGTGTTTTTATTGCTGAGCTGGTCTGTTTTCGTATCCAACACATTCTATAATAAAAATGATGAATAAAACTGAACTGAACCTGTTCTTCCCACAGGCCGTCACTCTGAGGAACACTAAAATCAGTCATACACTGTCAATATAAATCCTACATAGACAGTTATACAGTATATATATATATATATATCTTTACATTTATATACAGTAGGCTACATTGTAGCGATCTGCTATCACTACCACAGGAGGTTATCATATGTTGATTCATTACACACCCCCCCAGCCCTGTCACAGACATACCCCGCCCGGAAACCAATCCCCTCATTCACCTTCTTGTAAAATGGTGACGAAGCGGAAATCCGGTAAAGAAGGTTCCTAACTGAGTGAAATGTCCCGGAATGATCTAAGTGGCCGCCATGATAAGAGCTGTTACAATTCTCTAAATGCTAAGGAAAGGTGCTTCAATGCTTCCTTTACAGCTCCTTTAGCATAGGAAACACTGGACCTTCCTTTACGAAAGGAAAGTAGATCATTCTGCCCCACAATTCAATTGACGCACTATTCGGCCAGCCATTAAAACAAACAATATGCTTATCTTACACAGGTTTATCAATTATACTCATACAGTCATAAAGTATGCTGTGATAATCCTTATGTTTCATTTCACATGTATTTATTTACTGAGAACATGTAACAAATAAGTTACGAAATAAAATGAACAGTAAATATAGCAAACTGTCAACGAATAAAACAGATCTACACCTGCACACTATGAGAATGGCTACAACTCAACAACAAGAAGAGCTTCTGTGTTGCTTTTGTATTTAGCTGTCTCTAAGTTTGAGAACACACACACAGAAAACATGAAACATGGTGGAGTGGAGAAGAGTTTTGGTGTTTTTATATTTATCTGACTTAAAACAAAAAGTGAGAAAAGTAAGACAATGGAAGCAAGACAAGGATGGAGGAAACAGTACATTTGTTCAAAATAAGTATGTATTTCCTGACCCAGGGCCCACACTCACTATAGGATTACACGCTACTTTCCTTTTAGCACAAGTTTGGGGTTCATTATCTTTCCCAAGTACACTTGTAAACATGCAGACCGGAGAGGCTGGGGATCGAATCCGATTAGTGGATGACCGGCTCTCCTGAGCCACAGCTGTGATAACATTGATATATATATATATATATATATATATATATATATATATTATATATATATATATATATATAGATATATATATATATATAGATATAGATATATATATACCACATATGGTCTAGGTCCTGACAGAGATATTATAGGAACAATACAGGGACTGTGGGAGGAAGCGTGGGGAGAAGATGCAAACTCCACACAGAAGGGCCGTCCCTCTTGCTGTCAGGTGTCAGTGCTAGCCTGTTGCGTCCTATTTATTAGACATATATTCAATTTACTGTAGATTTAGTGTGTATGTGTTTGAGTAAATATAAGAAAAGGCTGGTTCCCTAGCTCTATTTCTCATAGCTCATGTTATAATACGTTTTTTATATCTGAAAGGCGTGTCTCCATCTAATTGATGTGGCACCACGATATAATATTTCGTCTTTACTCTTTAATCTACATAAGAAGTTACTGTATATTTCTTTCAGAGCTGACAAGTATGAGAAAAAAAGATGTAAACTAGGAGCCAAAAGCTTTTCCAGGAATTAGTTAAAGTCACAGTGAAAGAAAGCCAGAAGGAAGCAGAACTTCAGGCTTGAGGAAAACAGTTGTGATATCTTTTTGTAAAGCCAGTAAGTCATTTTTAAATGATGCTCTCATTGAAATACCATACAGAAATGTCAGACTTTGAGTGGCTTTACATTATAATCATGTCACATGTTCTTGAGACTTAAAGCCGGCCTCCTACTATGGCTGAAAGTATCACAGGAGACAAACATTTTACATAAGATGCATTCAAAATGGCTATTGTTTCTTTCACTAATTCAGTCCGTCTGTGAATATTTGAGAG